TTTTAAATCATAAAAATGTAACATGATACTTGTTTACGAAAATAAAATATGTCACGAAATAGAATATCCAGTGATATATGAATAATTTTTTTTTTTTAATAATAAATTATTTTAATTCTATTTAATACCAAAAATCTCCTGGATATTTATGTGATTATCTAAACTTAAAAATATTTCTTCTATTATTGTGATAATATACTAAAGTTTAACTGTAGTCACAGTGAAGATAAATATTTAATGATAAATAAATTAAAAATGATTAATTTTTATATTTGATATTTGATTCTACTCGTATCTAGGTAAAAGGAAATTTCACGTGTTAGTTGTCACTAATGCAAATGTTCTGTTTCAATAAGTATGCAATGAAGTATAAATAATGAGAATATAATATTCTATAATAAAACTGTTAAATAACTTAATAAAAAGTAAAGTGTAACATATATGTAGAACATTAATTGTTAAAAATAAAAGAATTTCAAAATAGCTTTGTGAATGTTGTAGAATTTAATTTTTGTATGAAATATTTAATTACGTTATTTTCTTGAGCACGTGCATAATGCATGTATTCCACGATTCTACATCGTGAATGGAAGTGAAGAATATAGGAAATTATAGAATAGAAATCTGTTTAGAATTATTGTATAATACCTATGTTTATATTTTCCAATAGGAAAATCAGCTTTTTACTATTTTTTTTTCATACAAGTAGGTAAGTATAAGTATGTTCAACGGATTTTTGAAGATTCAATTTATAAAGCAAATTTTAAAAAATCAGACAATCAAAGGAATCTATGGCAAAGAAGTATTTAGTATTTGCTCATATTTTAATCATGACTTTCGATAATAAATAAAACATTTTAAATTTTTGTACTCATTTATCAGTATCAGGCTCGTATTTAAGAGGGGGACACGGGTAGGTACATGCCCGGCGGCGTCAAGTCTCAGGGGCAGCAAACAATTTTAGTAAAATTAATTTTAAAATTGATGTACCTAATGAAAAAATAAAAATAAAACAATAAAAAAAATAAAATAGTATGTTTTATTATGTTATAATTTGTTAGTTAAAAAAAATATTAAATTATTTTCATTTATAAGTTATATTTTAATATTAAAGAATTTCAATTATGGACGAAATAATAAGTGTTATATTATTATTATATATTTTTATTTGGGGGGGAGGGCATAAATTATATGCCTGAGGGCACCAAATTTTTAAATACGGGCCTGGTCATTATATAAATCTTGATGTTTTGAAATAATCATATATTCGTATCTTATATATAAAAAAATTTATGAAAACTAAAGTCAGTCCGTCTGGCCGTTCTATCCGGCTGATTTCCTTCATTTTTTTTTTTTTTTTTTTAATGAAAGGTATTTAGACACAGATATGTCATCAATCATTGAAATTTATTCAACTTCCACCAACGCGATTCTTCCCTGTACATTTCTTATGGGACACATTCATTCAAGCAACACTCGAATTCTCATAGCTCCTCTTCTAATGGATGGATCTTGATCGTTTCACTCTCTGAAAACTCAGTGGATCAAGCTTTTTCGTTTAAGCTATTAACTTCTTATATTCTTTGAGTTTGAAGAAAGTAATGTGTGAATAATCAACTTTACTTTCAATTTTTTTCAAATACTGTATTCTCATTGGCTCTTGCCCAGTGATATAACAACAGACAACTCACAAATAATTCTAATATTATTAATACTTATATTAGCTAATATTGTCTAGAAGGAAGCACTGTAAAATGATTTTATGTAATAATTACACCCTCTCATACGTAGTCTATCCTAATGCTGTGGAACATATATTTTAATAAACACTTTCTGTCATTTCAATATATTTTTCAATTTTCGATAGTATACTCATATATTGATTTGTTTAAATGTGTTAATGTATTGATTCGATTGCACTTATACTTTTTATTATATAAATAAATTATCTATTGCGAATTTTTGCAATGGGTATACTAGTTATAGTATATTAATTTAGAAGATAATTATTAGATTGTTAATATTGTATCTTGACTGTTGTACAAAAAATGGAAATGTAGTATTTCATAAAATACATTATGATACAGAAACAGCATGGATCATGTTCCTTATGACTGGGCTCTGTGTGAGAAGAAGAATATGTAGTTAAATATTATATAATAATTGTAAACGGATACACTACCAATACAAAATAAATAAAACCAAGCGCAGGCAGAATATAGTAACAAGATATGCTAGACACTTGTTTTGTCTGGTATAAGCCATTGTTGCATTATTTTTGTTGTACATTTGCAAATAAGATAAAGTTGAAGATGCGTAAATTTATGTGTTTATGATTGTAATATTAAAAAATTCATACTTTACATATTCAATACCTATAAAAATTAACGGGAGTTTGGATAAAAATAAGGGATATTATTATTATTTTTATTCCTTTTTTTTCAAAACATCATTAAAGAAAATTATCTTATTCAAATTATAAGTTATTTAATAATTTAATTATTTTTCATCATCTAGTTGGGTATAGGCAAATAATTTTAATTGAGTTTCGATCGAGTTAAATAAATATTAATGTTAACGGTTTATAAGTTATGAATAACTTTTTATCAAATTATTAAATGTTCCTATTTATATAATGGTTCTACATACTCAACAGTAAGATTTTAGACTAATCTTTTTAATATTTTGTTCGTCGTGAAAATTACACATACGTTGAAATTGAATCTAAATTTTTCCACCCTAATTATTTCTATATATTACCTAACAGCAATTACAATAACTTTGAGAATTAATTTAATGTAAAAAATAATTTAAATATTATAATTGAAATCATTATAACATAATCTCAGTAAAATTAATTTTGATTTCCTTTATCTCTTTTGAATTAACTAAAAATAAAATAAAATACAATAATTATATATACTTTCATGACTGCATATGGGCCAACTATTGAAATAACGCAACATTATTTCACTTATGAGATAATTTATTAAATTTATCAAATACAAGTAATAAACCTTGAATTCAATTTTGTTATCAAGCGCAATAAATAAAATTAATACACAGCTATAATATCACAGTTTATAAGCATAACAAAATCGTAAATAAAATATTAAAATTAATATTGAATTTTCAAATTGATCGAATTTGAAAGCAGTGGCTAATACGATTAATTTTTATCAATACTATCAATACTAGATAGAGCCATGCCCAGGTTCAAAATTCAAGGCAGGCCCAGTTATAAGAATAATTTTTATGGAATACAATTTTTTTACTAGAGATTAATAAATAAATAATTTTAAATATACTTTGTGTTCAATAATAATAACTATTTATATTTTTCATTTAATAAATTGAATTATTCTATTTTTCATTTTGGCGTATCTACTCGTCAATTATCTTTGTAGGATCTTGCAATAATTCTGAACTGAACTCCCCGAAAATTATTAGTATTATTATTTTAATTCGTTTGAATAATAAATAATGAATAATTAAAGTATCATATGCAACTTTCTTTTATTTAATATTATTTTTATGATATTTTTCGATCTAATTATTAAAATATTAGTAGATCATTATTTCTCCATTGTCTGATACATTTTATATTTTGAAATAGTGTACCGAAAAATACGGTCCATGTGATATATTAATAATTTAATTTAAATATTACATTCTGCCGATTCTGCCGAACATCGATTAAAATTGTTATTGTTTTGTAAATATACGAAAAGGACAAGAGGACAATCGCACTCCGTTCTTAATTATTTCTAAAAAAAATTGAACTTTATTTTTGTTTTTCTAGTATCATTTGCTTTACAGTATATTAATATATACCTAGGTACATAAAGATAGTAGTTTTTTTACTTTAAAGTATTCTTCTAATAATTAGAGTTATTCAACATTTCATAAAATTATTTGAAATTCATTTATTAAAACATTTTACTCTATTCATATTACACCTTCTACATTTAGAAAAAAAATACTTTATTGTGTGGCATTTTTTGTTATTTATAAGTTTTTTAATGGCTTTTTAACTGTACTATTGTATTATTTTAGTCAACGTTTAGATCGAAAGATCGCCATTTAGAATGCAACACTTTGTCACGTGAATTTTATTTTTATTTCAAAATGTTTCCAAATAAATATTATATCCACGTGATAAATGTACATGTTTATATCATGAAAATAGGAATTTTATTATTGTTTAATGGTTGTATTAAAAAAAAAAAATTCTATAATAATTTCTAATACGAAAGCCATTTAAATCTCCGTTAACGTATTCGGTTAGACAACCGTATAACGCGGCGCGGTACATTGTATTGTTCGCCAATCGGAGTGTACGGCCGCACGAATTTGCGGTTGGTAAAACTGACGCCGTCGCACGTGTTTCACCGCACCGGTTGTATAGTGACCCGAAAACCGTTCGATAACGGTGTTGCACATGCAAATACGTTGTCACTTGTTAACCGTTGATTACCCTGTTGATGTTTTAGAATCAATCGATTCCAACCGCAAACAATTAATCCCCCAAACCGTCGATTACGTGATTACGTTATCCCTAATCCCGAAGAATTTGTTTTAAAAGTCCTAAAGACACAGAAAACTAGACATGCCCGTATGTATCAACTAGAGTGGTGTTCGCGGCTTTCGAGACTTGTCTGGACAATTAGACCAAAAACATTTGTTGGACATGTCGGACGATTGATGTACGTGGAATACGCGAAGAATCGAGTTCTACCTCCGTCGTTTGTTAATTATTTACATTGAGATGGAATGATGGACGTTGCTGGATTAGCTTGGAGAATTGTAAAGATTCTACCACCGACCTTTTAGAAAAGAAAAAAGTTGATCCCGTTAACCAGGTAAGGTGGTAAACCTGAACAGAGCAGCTAATGAAAAAAAAAAACAAAAAAAAAAAGCTTATGCCCGTGACGCGCGCGTACAATCAGCTGTGCGTTCGTGCACAATAACTAATGTTCATTACGCTTGTTTAGCGATCACCGTTGTTGCGATGATGATCGATGGCACGAGCGGATCGTAGTTGACTCGGCGTACGTGATCGCACGCGCGCGCGTGTGCAATTCAACCGGTTGATAAACGATAAGAGTCATTATTTTCAGTTCTATTATCTATGGATGCCGTCCCGTAGGGTAATATAAATAAATTTTACAATAATTACAATATATATATATATTATACGGTTGTTTTCCATTTCCTCGCACTCTAAACGCACGAACCTTACGCGTGTGAACTTTTCGCATCATTCTGGTGTACGGTACCTACGTTAAGATCGGTCCGTCGACGGACGGTCATTGAAACAGAGCCACTATAGCGGTACGTACCCGCGACCGCGTATCGTTTCCTAACGCCGGGAATGTCGGTCGGAGACGAGACCGGGACGACGGCCGTACCTCCTGCAGCGTCCGCAGTCGTTGCCCGGGAGGACGACCGTCGGCATGCTATACAACGCCAAGAACCGTTGACGGCTGCGACAACATCAGTCGGTGGAAGACCGTGGACGTTTGACGACGCGACAAGCAGACAAGCATCGTCGTCCGCGCAAACCGCCGCCGCGGCCGGTGTCACTGACCGCACGCCGCTTTTGGACCAGCAGATGACGCACGACGATCAGGTCGAAGTCGGCTGCGTTGCTCGTGGCGCCGCGAACAGAAACGTGTGCACCGTCGATGGGTAAGTCAGAACGCGTAAACCGACGTGAAACCGTTGCAAATCGTGCGAACCGCATAGCGAAAAGTGACGAGCACTCCCGACCGCGGTTGAACGCGGAACAGTAAGAAACGAACGATCCATGTGCACACTATTAAATCCTTCCCCCGCCATCCGTCGGCCATACCCTTCCCGCCACCACTAACCCCGTTCGGTGTCGCGGTTAGATTTCGTCACCGATTTCTTTGGTGGTGGTGTTGTGTTCGTTCGAGTGACGTAATGTAATGTGTTACTGTAGTTGCCTTGCTGCCAAGTCACTGTTGTTCCTCTGAGTTTCTTAAGCGAAAACCTATCGTCGAAATTGATTTTCGGGTGTTTGCTCATCGTACTACGTTTCTATGGGGTTTTTTTTATTTATACACTGTTGTGGTGTTGCCATCGAATGCCGATAACGCCGCAATTGCGGTTATCCGTTCTACCGTGATAACTTTTTACTGATCGTTTCATTATTGTGTGCGTTTTGTTTGCTGTAAACAATAAAAATACACTAACATTTTCATGCAGCAGTTTTCCCGGACAAGAAACCATATTCTTTTTACGATTTTTTCGTGGATTTTCAATAACGGAACTGGAAAATGTATTTTACCCACATTTAGAAGCCTCTTCATACATGTTCGAACCGCTTGTTTAATTCTAAATATTATCTACTTTTATATAACGTATTTAAATTATTTTTGTATCATGTACTATGTGTGGATTCTATGCGTCATATTGGCGTTTCAAATAAAATTCAAATGTAATATCTTTGGATTGAAATTTCAACAAAATATCTACACATTGTTATTGATCATGCGGCTATCATTTTTAGTAGATAAATGTTTTTTTTTTTTTTTGCGAAAATTAAATAATCTAAAAATTACATTTCAAAAAGTGATAATTAGGTACTTAAGAGAGATTGTCAATCGATTCATGTGAATTTATTATCATAGTTTTAAACTTAAAATTTACCTAATCAATTTAAGAGTTTAAAATTAATATACTTTGGTGTGTGATCGTAAATAAATCATTTTCATTCTGTATAATTTGAATATAACGCTCGAAAATATATGCCCTTTCATACTCAATTAAATGTATTAGCCATGCTCACAATTCTTAGATAAATATACTTATTATCCTACCTATAATAAAAAAATACGAGTAACATAAAAATACACAATTTTTCTAGAAAACTAATTTAAAAATTTATCTTTATAAACAAAAAAAACGTGAGTATAATCTATTAAAAAAATGAATCTCTTTTGAATTAGAAAACTATGAAATTACACAGTCTGTAAACGCTAACTGAAAACGCTCAATATCTTTGCGTAGAGACCTAAATTTTGAATTATGATTTTTTGTTGGTTTTTATGATAAAATATGTATTTTTACGAGTTTTTAATTTTAATTAAATAGACTTGTGCATGTGCAGTACAACTTTTTTTCTTAAATGGTAACCACCTATTTTAATTACTAATTATTTTTCGCCTATATTTTTAATGCATTTTGATAGTAAATCCAACTTTCTAAGTCCAAAATTGACTAAGTTACAGCAATTTAACCAAAAAATTATAAAATGTGCGCGATTTTAGATTTTTTTGGTTATAACTCTGAAAATAATTATTCTAGAATTGTTAAGGCTTGATATTTTCACTCTTCTTTATTAAAGTGATATTTACACGTTATTGTAATTTTATCTACTGCATAATTTTCACTTTAATTTGGGTATGTATTATAACTTATAATAGAAAAAACGTAAATAAGCAGGCGTGTTTATTTCGCGACATTTAATGGATCTATTGGAATTTATCAATAATTAACAATTAGTTTAAGTGTTATTCAAGTTACAAGTTTATTTATTTGTTGATTAATTTAACTTATAAATTGTTCAAATTGTTGTCCTCCGTGAACGAAACATGATTCAGCGCACCGCATAAATTCTTTATTTATTGGAGCAGTTAAGATTATATTCTAAGATTCCTTTTTAAGTTATGAATAAAACTATGGGCAGGATGTTCTCTATCTAAAATAATTACCAAAAATAATGAAACTAACTTAAAAAATTATCTAAAGCAACATATAAAAATTAATAAGTATACCTGGGAAACAATGAGCTTAAGTTTGTGCTGCACGACGTGCATTTTTTGACACTCCCAATAAATAAATAACATATCAACTTTTTCGGAATGTATTCCGAAAAAGTTGATATGTTATTTAATTAATATGAATCAGATTCATATTAATCACGAAGTGACACACGTGTTTGGACTATGAAAAATATCGAAATTATCAGTTTGTGTAAATAAACATTTTATGTTAATTTCATCGTATTTAATTTTGTATCAAATTGTGATAAAGATAAACGTTTACTTTAAGAGAGGTGCCTAATGTTTAGTTATATAGTGCTTGATAAAATACGATAAGTATAAGATTACGTTTCTATTCCAATTTAAAATATCATAAATATCATTGCAATCAACTAACTAACGAAGAAATTACTGCTGCAACAAATAAAGAATTCATGTGGCGCGCTGAATCATGTTTTGTTCATGAAGGACAACAATTAGAACAATTTATACATTAAATTAATCAATAAATAAATAAACTTGTAACTTGAATAAAAATTAAACTTATTGTTAATTATTGATAAATTCCAATAGATCCATTAAACGTCACGAAATAAACAACACGCCTGCTTATTTACGTTTTTTCTGCTATAATTTACATATCCAAATTAAAATGAAAATTCTGTAGATAAAATTATAATAACGTGAAAATATCACTTTAATAAATAAGAGTGAAAATATCAAGCCTTAGCAATTCTAGAATAATTATTTTCAGAGTTACAATCAAAAAAATTTAAAATCGCGCGCATTTTACAGTCTTTTGGTTAAATTGCTGTAACTTTGTCGATTTTGGACTTAGAAAGTTGGTTTTACTACTAAAATTCATTAAAAATATAGGCAAAAAATAATTAGTGGTTAAAATAGGTGGTTATCATTTAAAAAAAAAAAGTTGTACTACACATGCGCGAGTCTATTTAATTAAAAATTAAAAATTAAAAACTCGTAAAAATACTCATTTTTATGTCATAAAAACAAACAAAAAGTCAGAATTCAAATTTCAAGTCTCTACGCAAAGATATTGAGTGTTTTCAGTTAGCGCTTACACACTGTATATAGAATAAAGTCGTTGATAATTATTATTTTAAAGAATAATAATTTATATCAAGGATATAATTGTTTGTATGAAACCTTGTTAGTTGTATTTAATATGAAAAACAAGTAGTGTCTCCTAGAGTCAGTGTCATGGTCAAAGGTTGTATTCTATGTTTTCTAATCTATCGTCCGAGGTGAAAGCTGAAACTAGGCTTTATAATCTCCTACTAGATTTATAAGGTATTTCTTTTTTAGTTATGTTTCGATGCTATTACTTAAGTTAAATATAAACGTGATCAATCAATATTATAATTTATGATAGTAAAAGTATATTTTATGTGCACACAAGTATTATTATTAAAGATAAATAAATATAAATGCAATGACAATAAACTAAATTAAGTCTGCCATTAAATGTAAACAAGTAAATTTATTTGAAATTGGAATACAATTATATCCCTTCACAAATCATGTATATGTATACATAAATCTACGTTTGAGGCTGGTTTGTTATGGGGACTGCAATTCTCATTTTAATTATTTACGAACTTTTATAAAGGAATTATATTAGTTTATTTATTAATAATAAAACATTACGGGGGTGGGAGTAGAAGATATAGCACAAATTAATGTGGAAGTAGAATTTATATACATGAACAATATAATTTAGTTAAGGTAGGTTAGGTAATCTATATACGTACATACGTACATTTTTCTTATTCGATGTTCACTAACGTTTTAATGAATTATTGTTGAATTATTGACACCAAAACATAAGTACTTACTACTACCATATTATTTCATTTTAATTATTTTATTATGTTTGCAATAGTGGGTTATTTTTATTTTATTTCGTATTTATCATATAATGTTTGTAAGCTTATGTTTCCTTTATTGGCATGCAAATGTACATAGTCTATGTTATTAATATTATTTTAGTTTTATTAGTAACGTTACATTAAAGTTAATTACATTTTACATATATGTATAATTACTTATAATTAATTAATATACTATTACCATGTAATATAATTTTTCCCAATTTTTAAAAATAATGTGAGTTTATGGTTTTGATATTTGAAATCATTTTCATGAAATTCTTTTCCATTCTCCAAACTAACCAAACATAATGCATAAGAAAATACACACACGATTGAATTTATTTGATACTACATTACATGCAATAAGAGAACAATCGAAGTTTTCTCATATATATTTGCATTTTGATCTTAACGAAAGATAATCGAAATTTACGAGTACTAAAATAATCTAACATATGAGATACATTATATAGGATTGTTTATCAAGGAATCAAGTATTTTCTGAATAACGGAATTGTAAACTGGATATTTTTTAACTGAAGAATATTATATAGTAGGAGTCATAATTTATCACTATTTACTGTGAAATGTTATACTTGAAAATATACTTGGTTAAAATATGATTGGAATAATTTATTACTATTTATGACCATGAAGTCGTTCAGTATGTATGTATGTTAAATTACATAAATATTTATTTAGTGGTTCTCTGTATGACTGTGACTACGTTTGTTAAAGCGGTATCAAATGTATTCTATGTACAATTTAAACGTAAACGAATTTATGTGTGCATTGATACGTACAAGAATAAAAAAAGTTTACCTCTAATACTTATAATAACTAAGCAAAAACATTTTTTTAAATTATGAGTATTTACGTAGTATATAAAATATATTAGAAATTTTTTGACTATACATATTACTGTTATGACTAGGGCGCAGATTTTTATGTAATTACATATATTTATTGAATGTGAATTTCTCAATTCTAATTAAAAATAAGCATGTTT